TGTTTCTATTATTATTATTATTATTATTATTAACTGATAAATTATGAAAAACAAAGATGGTGCCACAAAGGTGCTTTTTCAAGAGACAACTGGACTTTCTTGTTTTTCTTGAAAGACGTTTCGCTTCTCATCCGAGAGGCTTCTTCAGCTCTGACTGGATCTCCATAGACACAAAGATTGTGTGTTTTACATGGGCTTTTAAAAAATTGCAGTGGACTCTTGGAGGACATAAAATAGAGCAGGGTCTGATTTCAAATATCTGGGAGGCACCATATGGACACTGCTCAGGTTGCTTCAAACATCCAGAGGAATCCCACAGCAATCCTTTCTTTCATCTTCTACAGAGGTGTCCAGTGCATATCAGCTGCCCTCAAGCTTTTCAGAGCCAAGACGTTATCCAAATCCTAGAGCCCAATTAAATCCAGGAATTAATTGTCAAACTTTGAAAAGGATACAGTCAGATTTCCTAAGAAAGCTATTCTAAGTGGGAAAACACATGCCTAACATTGCCCTGCAGTAGAAGGCAGGGTTAACAAAAGCTGAAAAAACAACATGGGTATATGCATTTAAATAGCAGCTAAAGGTTCACTTCCAACCTCAAGGTCTGACACAGCTAGCTTTAATCGGTAAAACAAAACCCTCCAAATTTGTATTAATTTACACACACACATCCCAGTGAGTATTACATTACTGCAGTTAAATGTTACACATCAGCAGAGCTGGGGGAGAATTCTATAAAATCCCATATCCTGAAAGGCTTGGTCTTGTAAAGATAGTGACATCGAAACACAAACTCATATTCTGCGATATGAGATCTATTGAGATGCACGCAAAGAGCTTCTAACATTTCCATGGCTGACTGAAGAATTTTATGTTCAGTGTTTACTATCTGATAAGACCTCATTACAAAGTTTATTCTCATGGCTTGTAAAACTTGTGTATTGCTGTTGGCAAAATAGTGCAAACGTGATTGCAAAGATTTTTATTTTGTATATGTTATTTGTATGTTCCATTTTGTAGATTTTATTTAGTTACGTTCTGGTTAATTTGGATCACTGGCCTGTAATAAAGAATTTGAGGCATCCTTATATTAACAGTACTTGATCAATTTGATGTTAATCAGGCTAAAAATTTAAATTAAAACAGGTCTAGTTTTTAATTCTTGCTGCCCCCCCCCCTTTTTTTCTTTTTTCTTTTTGCTTTGGCCTCACTCAGTCTTTTGCATGCAACTCCTCAGCCCCTCCCCCAAAGTAATTGCTCCTATTCTAGCATGCGAATTATCGGATAATCTATGAGCTATCGGATCAGCTTGCTATCTATAGGAGCCTAGCAATCAAAAGAGACCTCTAATTGCTGGCGCAGAGGAAGAACATGGAAAGCTTCTATAAGCAGTTTCCGGAGCATCGAAAGATGCTTTTCCTAAGCTTCCAACAGCACCTACCCTCCTTTTTCTCTCTTGGGTCAAGGATGCCCTGCTAAATTATTTTTGTTCAGTGTAATAGCAAACTGGCAAGTAAACAAGGAAAGCTGGAGACAAATGGGCAGTGCAATTAGCTGTAACAAATGCCTTGGAACCAAGTTTGGATTATAATTGCAATCGCAATTGTTTGGAATCCTTGCTTATAAGCCTCAGGGAGCCTTAATCAAACATTATAACAAGGCAAATGATTAACACAAATGGCTGTGTGCTCTGAATTAATTTCCAAAACAGAAGCAGGGAGTGGAGTGAATAATAAATTCCATGTATATGACATCCGTGACATGTAAAGCACAGATTCTGGGTTTATCTTTTAAAATGTTGGGTATCCATTTTCCAGATACATCACATCAATGTGTGAACAAAAAAGGATTAAGGTATTTCAAAATAAACACAAATATGTAATTCCATGTTGCTCTTCAGATTGTGAAATAAAATACAAAGATGTGCATAAAAACAACGGATAAAATGTTCTTTCTAGAATAGCCATGGATATGAACAGCTGTTTATTTTTCCTCCATCCTTTTAAATTGATGAAAAATCAACATTCCCGTAGCATCTCACTTATTTTTAGGAAGAACAAGAAGGCTTTTACTCTCAGCCTGGAGGTAAAGCTCTGAATATAGACCTAGGAGAATACTGTTACATGGACGACCAATCCTTAATGCTTGCAGGTATCAACAACACCCTACTGGATGAGTAGCCTAGATACAGGATCGCCCTGAAATCTGTGAACCCGGTCTTGTCGTCTTGTGGTGTTTTGATCACTAGCCAAGCTTACTGAAGGCTGTTTCCTGCCCACCACGCTCAGCAAAAGCATTTCACAACAAGACAAATAACAGTCCAAGGGCTTTTAGCTAGTGAGAACATCTCTAAGCATCAGGATGCTGCTCAACTGCTTTTATCAGAGACATAATTTATTTTTCAGACTCATAAAAAGAAATACTTCTGAAGAACAAAAGAATTTTAGGAATGAAGCCAGTTATGCAAAGAGAAAGCAACCTTGTGGGGGACAAATTACCCCAGGGAAAACAATTTCCTACTACATACAAAGACTATAGGATCTTCACTTATGGTAATTGATAGTAACCTTGGCCCTGCTTTGCTCCCCAGTAAACATTTTTGTGCATGCTGCTAAAACACTTTAAAACATCTATTGTCCAAACTGGAAAAAATAAGGTGCAAAATATAATTTTGAAAGGAGCTAAATATACTCCTCTGAAAAACAGAAATGATCCCGTTTTCAACTAACTCCCAGCTCCTCTGCTATTCTTACTAGATTGTTCAATTGCCTTTAATCCAAAAATTCTCTAGTGATCTGGTAAATATATTCTCACTGATAGCTTATGATTCTGAAATACAATAACAACAACAACAACAAAAAAAAAACAGAACAGTTACTGTATGCAGTTCAGGAAGAAGTAAAATCAAAAAGACCAACTTGACTATGATCAGTTAAATAAAGCTTTAATCTGGAGTGGAAAACAGTATGAAATTAGCCCCAAATGCACTTCAGTGGAGAAGGATTTCCTCCATAGAGAATGCTCTCTCTTCTTAACACATAATACTTCTGTCTGAATGACATAGCAAATACTGAATTAGTCAGCCGTATTTTGGCCTAAGACTTTCAGGGGTAGGCAACCTTGGCTCTTTTCTGACTCATGGACTTCAACTCCCAGAATTCCTGAGCCAGCAATTCTGGGAGTTGAAGTCCATGAGTCATAAAAGAGCCAAGGTTGCCTACCCCTGGCCTAAGTGGTATTTACAACCCAAGCCCAAACGGTTAATATATGCTTCAGTGTGGTATACAAATCCCAAAAATATTTACTATTCAGCTACAACTTTACTACAACTATTTACATCTTTGTTAGAGCCCACCTTTTCCCCAGAAACTTGAGATGGCTTACTTGTAGAACACCCTCCTCAATTTTTCCCCAGATTAACAACTCTGTGGGGTGGGTGGGGCAGAGAGAAAAGGCCTGGTCCAAAATCAATCAATGAGTTCCCATGGCTAAAGAAAGAGTAGAACCTGGGTCTCTTTGCTCCTAGCTCCAACACCTTAGTACATTACCTTTGAGTAACCACCTCGGGCAAGTACAACTTTCATGTCCAAGAAAAACTGAGGAGAGCATCCCGAGGAAATTTTGTGGCTTGAGCAAACTGTTGTATGGGGGAGTTATTTGTAATATTTGTATTTCCTTCCCTCCCGCCCCCTCTCACTGAATTGAGTGTGATTAGAACTGGGCTGTAAAAAGTACAGATTTATGCAATTGGCCAGGAACTGGGCTTTGCCTTGTCATTACACTTTTCATCAGTGTTCTCTGCTGCACTGGTTTTTCTCATCTTGAAATTTGCATTGTAATTTCTTTTTTGAAAAAAATGTAATAGTTTTGTTCCATCAGTTTATACTGATGAGACTAAAGAATTTTTTAGTAAAATCTGTTCTTTATCATGGCTGTGTATGTTAGCTTCCCTAGTGTACATTAATATGAAACTTTTCTATGATAAAATCTACCTCAAAATTATTACCTTCAGTGCAAATAACACCTGTATACACTGAATGCACCTGCGATATTCATATGAACCCAGCCTATTTATGCATTTATTAGTCAGTGTACAATATAAACCCAGAAATAATCCAAAACAAAATAGACTTTGTTAATTAAAACAGCAATTCAACAAAAGTAAATATTGACTTTTTAAAAAATATGTTATTTTATAGAAAGTTATTTCTTTCAATAAAAGTAGAATGTGTTCCCTGGTTCTTTCTGTTTGTGTTTACTTTGAAAGAGTAAAGAGTTGGGTGGGTCCTACTCCTCAAAAAATGTGCATGGCATCATAGCATGTACAATAAAACCCTATGCTTATTTGCTAAATGTTAAGCTGTACTCTTCACATACTCACTCGGAGTCAGTACTTGGGGCAAATCAGTTGAATGGTCAAATATTGCATCCAAACTTTGCAGGAAGCAGTAGACAAAAATTACTCTTCTTTCTTCTGTGACAACTAAGAAATTGGCTGTTGCCACTACAGCATTCTGTTCAATGGAAGAAGAGGATTGTCTTCACACTCATGTCTTGTAGTTTTCAGTATAATTGAGGTTTGAGTAGTTTCCAGGCTTGTGGCAGTTGCCTTGGCGAGCTCCTTAACAAAATTCCCCATATTTTTTCCTAGTAATCAGAAAGGAGTCATTGCTTATAACAGAAAAGTAGTTGTGTTTAGAGGAGAGGATTTGGGCAGGTGCATCTTATTTGAGCAGGTTTGAAAGAAAGAAAAAAATTGCATCTCTTGCAACTTCGCAAAGGAGCCCTGTTCCTTTCACAACTCATTCGTCTTAATGACACACATTTTGTGAATTAAGAAAATATTTGCACCTACTTGTTTAACTTGTGGGAGTCTTCCCATTTGGGCAGTCTGCCTCCAAGAACAGTCATTCTAATAGGAGGAAGTAGTGTTCTCTGTCTTTCGGGCGAAGGAATGAAGTTTAGACATTCTGCAGGGAGCTTCTGCCCTGCCTGCCCTCCCTCCCTGCTCCCTACCTAGCCAGGTGATATCAGAGGAATAACACTGTGGGTTTAGCCAACCTACACTGTATCTGGGGCCAGGACAGATAGAGAGGTCCTGAATGTTCAGGATAACACCATGAGATTAGGGAGGAAGTTTCCTACATCATCCCATCTCTTTCTCCTAGGCTTTTTGTTCCTCATTGTGTCATTTGCTGCTTACATTGGCTTTACTGAAAAATATTCATACAGGTAAGAAGAAATTCATCTTCTCAAATGAAAATTATATACTGCTTGCTCTAACATGATAAAGCTAGTCTTTGGGTATTGAGATGCACTATATAGCTTTGTTCCCTATGTCATCCGTCTGGTAAACTCGCAAGATTCATTTTTCTCGCCATGCACATGTATACATAACCTGAACTAGATTGTTGTTTTTCTGTGTCATACAATATATGTGGGTATATGCATAATTCTTTATTTATTTTTGTCATCTTTATGTAATATAGGACGTGGTGAAGCTCTGAGAGCTGTATGCAAGGAAATTTCATTTTAATGTATGCCAATTAGTGTACATTCAAAGTGAGAATAAAGTTATTATTCTATTCTACTATATGTTGTCCCTGTGTCTAGCTGTTCTGGCATGCAGTGCCTTATAGTGGTGTCCTGAGGGGAGAAGTTGAAACAGTTTGTATTCAGAATGTGAGGGGTAAAGACGGAATATAATTATATAATTGTATCTATATCTTCTCTTTTGTGGATATGGCAATATGTTCTCCAGGCAAGCACTTGTGACATGTCAAGTTACAAAATATCTTCCATGGGGTCAGTTTTTCTTGCAAGTTGTGTCTTTTGCATTATCAGAATAGATCCCAGCAATGTGAGTAATTTTTGCTCCCAAGGTTAAAAGCCAAATTTTGCAATCCTTTCCCCAAATTTGTGCATAATTATAGATAAAACATCAATAAAAATAATGCTGCTCCCAGAGATATTCTTCTACCTCACCCTTCTCTCTTTCAGCCCATGAAAGTCCCTGAAAATCACGTTGCTCTGCCCATGGGCTGAGAGTGGCCATCTTCCAATCATTAATATCACTGTGGTCATTTTTAAGGGTGTTTGGAGAGATTCAGTTCTTGCTTTGCTCTTCTGTGTCTTGTGTGAAATCGCTTTTATTGGGGCAGAAATAAAGACACAATTCTAGAGAAAGCAGAAATCTAAAAACTTATTAAAATGTGTATGTGTGCGTGGGTATACGCAAAGCTACAATTTGTATATGAATGATTAGGTCTAGAAATATGTCAGTCTCCATTCTGTGTGTGTTTCTACATGTTTAACTGAAAAGCTCTCACCTGCTTATAACATATTCCTTAAACAATAGTGACATGGTAGAATTTATGCAGCTTACCAGATTGCTAAATGACGGATGTAAGTTTTGTTTCAAAAGAAGAATGGATAATAGAGTGCAGCAAGTATAATTTACCAAAATATGTTCTGTAGCTATGAAGTGAAAGGTCATTTAATTTTCCTAGACTATCGGTAGTGATCCCTTGCTACATCCCAATATTTCTTTGAAACAAAACAAAAGATGCAGTTTCCTAACTCTAAAGGTATAGCACTTTCAGGTGCGAATATTTTCAGTCAGAAACAAATAATGATCATGAGTTTAATTCTTCTAAGTAATGAGCTGGAATTGGTTGTTAGATAAAAAGCAGGAAAATCTTTTAATGTGCCCATTAGATCAAGAATTATGAACCTGGGAGCAATTCTAGCCCTGCTTTAGCCATAACATCCATCTGGCTCTAGTCACTCTCTCTTTAGTAACCCCTCTCACAGGGTTGTTGTTGTGGAGAAAATAGGAGGAGGAAGTAGTGTTGGATATGTTCACCACCTGGAGTTATTTGTAGACATAGGCAAGAACAGAACAGAACAGAACAGTCTTTATTGGCAAGTGTGATTGGACACACAAGAACTTTATCTCCGGTGCATAAGCTTTCAGTGTACATACACGCAACAAAGTCATAAGTCATAAGATACAATCATAAATCATAAGATACAATAACAAAGTGACAGTTATAAGAGATCAATAGCAGTATGGAATAGAAAAGATGAGAAGGATAATAGCAATACAACCATACTACGTGGTTAGATATCCTTAGGTATAAGACAATGCTGTGGGAATTAGGTGTTTAGCAGAGTGATGGCATGGGAGAAGAAACTGTCCCTGTGTCTAGTTGTTTTGGCATGCAATGCCTTATAGTGATGTCCTGAGGGGAGAAGTTGAAACAGTTTGTATTCAGAATGTGAGGGGTAAAGATGGAATATAATTATAGAGATAGCAATGAAGATAGAGATATTGCAAGCCTCATTGCTGCCAGAAAATACAGGATTTAAAGTGTATAGAAAAACTTTAAGAAGAAGAACAGACTGAAGGGAAGATAAACATTTCAGGACAACTATGTCGAGATGGAAAAATAGACAATTTGTCAGTCCTTTCAAAAAAATGGCGACCGGATGGCTTTTTTTACTTCAAACAATATACATAACAACAAAGGGAGATTTATTTGATGACTTAAAAGCATGGACATGGAAGGCGAGTTGGCAAAGAAAAAAAGCTAGAATAAGACTGAAGAAAATTGAGGTTTTGACTTATCAGTGAGAATTAAAATAGAACATACTCAAATAGATAAGATGTGTATTTTGAATACTAGATTTTGTTATGAGCTGAGATAAAGAAAACTTTGGTCATTTAAAACTTGGAAGTATAAATATTAATAGTTAAATTTGAATATTGATTTGCTTCTAAAGGTTGAATGTAAAAGTAATTAAGATATATATAAGCTAAAAATCTATTGATGAATGTAATAAATATGTTTTTACTTAGCTGTTATAATAAAAACTACTAGCTTAAATATGAGATAGTAGATATCAAGAGAAAAAGAGAGGAAGTATTAAATGTCGAAAGAGAAATTTTGGTTACTAAATTTAAGACATTTGGAAATTAATAGAAAATAAGAATGTTATACTGTATTATTAATTAGTTGATGTAAGATGGTGAGAAATAGAATATATTTAAATAAATAAGACGTGTATCCTGAACATTAGATTTTGTGATGAATTGTGATAAAGGAAACTGTGGTTATTTAAAACTTGGAAATTATAAATATTAAATGTTAAATTTAAATATTAATGGGTAACTAAAACTTGGGAACAACTAGTTAGAACATTGATTGTCTATAAAGATTGAATGCTAAAATAACTAGGATATGTATAACCTAAAAAGTATTGATAAATGTAAGAAAGTTATTTTTATTTAATCGATATAATAAGAATTGTATTAGTTTAAATATGAGACAGTAAATACTAAGGGGAAAAGAGAGGAAATATTTAATGTAGTAGTTTGAGACTTGTACTAAAGATACTTGTATGTTATTGAATCATTGAGTAACTCAGCTGCCACGTTGCTTTTTAAATATTTAAATGTAAAATTAGAAAATCAATAAACTTTTCTTTAAAAAAAAACTTTTCCTCCTTCTTGCTGTAGAAGATTCTTCTTCCATTGTTCTAAGAAGGCAACAGCAATTTTTTAGCCTCCACAAGAGGAAGAAGTGTTACTCATGCCTGTTTTTCTTGCAAAATTTGACTGCAATATTTGCTATTTCACCTGACTGGCACAGAGAGCAATTATATGTTCCTTGAATCTGTTTGTATTACTTATATGATGCTTCAATATTTACTAAATGTTCCAGATGTATTTACCAATTGAAGGTATGCCTATGTGTGTCTAGAAGCTTTTATACCTATATCCTGTATCCTGTTTTTAAAAGTTGGCATCTTTAAGTTTGAAGTTGGTTAACAGTATCTCTAAGATCCTCCATTCGTTTAGAACAGGGGTCTTCAAACTTGGCCCTTTTATGACTTGTGAACTTCAACTCCCAGAATTCCTCAGCCAGGCCCTCTGGCTGAGGAATTCTAGGAGTTGAAGTCCACAAGTCATAAAAGGGCCAAGTTTGAAGACCCCTGGTTTAAAAAGACTTTGTTTGTGATCTAAAGGAGTGTGTGCTTAAGGCTTAAGAAGAGTAGCAGGATCTTCAGAGAGTGAAGAAATAATACTTCTTGATAAATCAATAATGTCTTGTATCTACAACTTAATTATACTTTACAGCATGCTGGCTGGGGAATTCTGGAAGCTGAAGTCCACACGTCTTAAATTTGGCAAGGTTGGTGTGAGAAGTCAGACTTGGGGCTATTAGGAAAAACTGGGCATGCTTTTCTGCCTCTTTAAGATCCTTTGAGGAAATATAATATTCTGCCCTTTTAATATTTCCTTCTATGGGGGGGGCTGACTTCTCACATTGGGAAACAATTGTTCTAGAGTTTAGCCTCTACAGCAGGGGTGTCAAACTCGTGACATCATGTGATGTGTCGCGACGAATCATGACTTTTTTCCCATTGTCGGCAAGGGGTGGGTGTGGTTTCAACGTGATGCAGCGGGCCGGCAGTTTGACACCCCTGCTCTACAGAATTTGCCACAAAACACAAAGGAAATGCTCTTGGATCAAAATTGTATTTCCACCACTACTGTATTATTTTGGCATGAAAATAGTACTCTGTCTAGTATTGAACTTGGGGTTGGAATGGACCATGTCCAAGAAGAATTGAAAACAAAAGAAAGCAATAATATTGCTTTCAGAATAATCTTCTTTTAGAAAACAGTTCAGCATTTCTGAACTCAGAAGCAAATTGCCAAGAAAAGTAAAACTGAAGCTGTGGTCTGAGCAGTCAGCCTCCATTTTTTTCTTGCAGATGTAGGAGGAAAACTTCATATTAAAAAAATCCTTTGTTTTGCATATTTTGGGTTCTATAACCCTATTTGTAGAATAGAATAGAATAGAATAGAATAGAATTGGAAGGGACCTTGGAGGTCTTCTAGTCCAGCCCCCTGCTCAAGCAGGAGAACTTATACTATCTCAGACAAGTGACTGTCCAATCTCTTCTTAAAAATCTCCAGTGATGGAGGCTTCCGGTTTGCCGAGGCAGCCGATATGGACGTCTGGAAGGCAAGCTCTGTCTTCCGCGTTCAGTTTCGCTTCGCTGGGGGACCCTGGAAAGGGTTGAAAGTCACCCTATAGGGGTGACCAGCAAGGAGGGGATCCCCGTTGGATCGCGGGAGGGCGGTAGCTCTTCTGCTTGATCCAGGACAGTCCTCCAAACCGGCGGATGAAAGACCGGCCATACCAATATGGCTCGTCACT